TCATATATATAGTGCCCTCTTCAGTTTCCCGCTCTTTTATTGCTCCGCCCACTTCCTTTGTCTCTGCAGGGCGGCTAAATTCGACTTTAAGTTCAGAGTACTACAATCAATCAATCTTTATCTTGCAAAAACACTCATGTTTAGTTTAAACTCTGTTCAACCCCGGCTCTTTTCACTGTGTTTGAAGATAGAAACAAAAGGCCCAAGCCAGTTTCAGTCTCTGATATGATAAGACAACCATTGATCTAAGTAAGAGCAAGCAATTTGACCCTGGGTCCGCTTCCCTCTTTTACCCACACACACAGTGAAATGACCCAATTCAGTTAGCCACAAAGAATGTTAACTATATGTTGATGATTAACTCAGTTTCACCTAATAGTCTATTAAAAATCCAGTAACCAATCAGTAGCTCCACCGAGCTACACTACTCTCACATACAAACAATCACCCACAAGGACAAGGGGGCAGAGGGAACACTTATACACAGACTAATGAGGGGATTAGAACCAGGTGTGTGTGATTGACAAGACAAGACAAATGTGATGATAATTGGGGCGACAGTGGTTAGTAAGCCGGTGAAGACGAACTCCGAAGCCTGCCCGAACAAGGAGGGGAGGCAGCCTCGGCGGAAGTCGTGACACCCAGACCATTATTCCTCCTCCACCAAACTTTACAGTTGGCACTATGCATTGGGGCAGGTAGCGTTCTCCTGGCATCCGCCAAACCCAGATTTGTTCATCGGACTGCCAGATGGTGAAGCGTGATTCATCACTCCAGAGAACGCATTTCCACTGCTCCAGAGTCCAATGGCGGTGAGTTTTACATCACTCCAGCCGACACTTGCATTGCGCATGGTGATCTTAGGCTGCTCGGCCATGGAAACCCATTTCATGAAGCTCCCGTCGAAAAGTTATTGTGCTGACGTAGCTTCCAGAGGCAGTTTGGAACTCGGTAGTGAGTGTTGCAACCTAGGACAAATGATTTTTACGCTCTAAGCGCTTCAGCACTCGTGATCCTGTTCTGTGAGCTTTTGTGGCCTACCACTTCGTGGCTGAGCCGTTGTTGTTCCTAAACGTTTCCACTTCACAATAACGGCACTTACAGTTGACCAGGGCAGCTCTAGCAGGACAGATATTTGACGAACTGACTTGTTGGAAAAGTGGCATCCTATGACGGTGCCACATTGAAAGTCACTGAGCTCTTCAGTAAGGCCATTCTACTGCCAATGTTTTTTTCCTACGGAGATTGCATGGCTGTGTGCTCGATTTTATACACCTGTCAGCAACGCGTGTGGCTGAAATAGCCAAATCCACTAATTTGAAGGGGTGTCCACATACTTTTGTAAATATAGTGTATTTACACATTCATTACATTTCACACTTCTGTCTACTTCAAGTGTACAATGTCTACTGTCTACTTCAACTTGTTCCTATATAACTACTGTAAAAATGATAAATATATTTAACTATTGCAACAAGAAATTGCATTGTTGATGGTAGCCTCCTTGCAGGTATACAAGCACAGCCAGCACAGGCCCATGTTATGGATTAAATAATTAAAATAATTATGTTTTATGATGTGATGGTAATGTCTTCGGAAAATTGAGTAAAATCCATGTATTGTTGAATAAAATGGTCACAGCCAATACCAGTTCATGGTTCCTGACAAAATGAGAAAAGTATTTATATTGATGATTTTTTCAAGAAACTACATTTTTTGAAAATAAGAAATGCCAAGTGCCCATAGTTGCAAAATCACCCAGATCTGTAGGAAAGAAAATCCAACGTAATCCCTTTTTAGATTACATTTTAAGGCCGTAAAATGTGAAGCTGAGCAAGGGGTGTGTAGACTTTCACTAGGCATTGTTAAACACAAATGGAAACACTCACAGACACTGGCCCCTGTGGACTGGAGATTGTACCACTGCTTTCTGTATACTGTTCTTCAACCCTGTCCTCTATACTGCCTGTATTGCCTGTCAGTCTCACAATTTATTTTACTCCCACACAAAGAGACTGTTTTCTCTTCCTACAGGAACATTTACAAAAGGCTAATTAAATATTGAATGTTTCAAACAATCCCACTAGCCTCATTCCCTATGGACAGGTGTCAGCAAATTCCCAGAATAAATCTACTTTACCATATTGCTTTGACTGTCTATTAATGAATTCTGAGTATCACATCTGACATTTGCCAGTCTTTATGTCATGCGTCTGACACTTTGTTGCTCCTAAATCTCAACTTGACATGGCATGTTGGATTCAACCTGTTACCTAAGCAATTTATCCTAACCCACTGTGCTAATGAACCCTTCTGATTGTTATGCTTTGACAAGTGATGCTAACTGACAAGTAGCAGCCTGTCTGGATATTTAAAGAGTATGCCTTCAGCTCAACTCTACATCTGCACACTGCTGAACACTATCATGCCCATTTATGTTGTCGTGTGGGTATTGGAACATGGCCATAGAGTTTGTGTGAGGTTGGTTGTATACATGATCCTCCTTCATTTGGAAGTACACACAGTGTTTAAAATAACTTTAATTTGGGGAAAAGTATTGATATGATTATTTAATGGGGGAAAAGGGGCCAAATATAGAAAGCACATCTATTTCAACCATTTTATGTAATTGTGTTCCATTGGAGACTTCTGTAATGTATTCATGTATATGTGCGCACACAGGAGAGCTAGTGGGTATGTTAGTGTTTTTCTGCAGTGCATACAGCATGCAGGAGGTGTGTTTGCTGGTCAAACAGTAGGTCAGACTAACAGAGCCATGTGAGGGCCTCCCATTGGGGAGAGGGAAGCACCAATCACACATCAGCTCACACATCATTTTTTTTTAGTCATTTAGCAGATGCTCTTATCCAGAGCGACTTCCAATTAGTGAGTGCATACATTTTTCATACTGGCCCCCGTGGGAATCATAGCCAGCAGGCAGGGTCTGGGCCTTACTGCATCGCTTCACACATGTGAAGCGATGCAGCAAAACACAGCACATGTAAAAAAAGAGGGACCTGAGCAAAACATACTACAAAAGTACTGCAGCAGCTTTACATGCTGAAGGTGATATACTGTCAGCTGAATTCAAGTGCATACCATACTGAGTGGCTGTAGATACAATTATGGTTTCAATATACCAGATCCCCACATTGCTTCAGTTTCTCCCAACTACTATATACAGTAGCTACAGTGGGGGAAAAAAATATTTAGTCAGCCACCAATTGTGCAAGTTCTCCCACTTAAAAAGATGAGAGAGGCCTGTAATTTTCATCACAGGTACATGTCAACTATGACAGACAAAATTAGAAGAAAAAAATCCAGAAAATCACATTGTAGGATTTTTTATTTTATTTGAATTTATTTGCAAATTATGGTGGAAAATAAGTATTTGGTCAATAACAAAAGTTTCTCAACACTTTGTTATATACCCTTTGTTGGCAATGACACAGGTCAAACGTTTTCTGTAAGTCTTCACAAGGTTTTCACACACTGTTGCTGGTATTTTGGCCCATTCCTCCATGCAGATCTCCTCTAGAGCAGTGATGTTTTGGGGCTGTCGCTGGGCAACACGGACTTTCAACTCCCTCCAAAGATTTTCTATGGGGTTGAGATCTGGAGACTGGCTAGGCCACTCCAGGACCTTGAAATGCTTCTTACGAAGCCACTCCTTCATTGCCCGGGCGGTGTGTTTGGGATCATTGTCATGCGGAAAGACCCAGCCACGTTTCATCTTCAATGCCCTTGCTGATGGAAGGAGGTTTTCACTCAAAATCTCACGATACATGGCCCCATTCATTCTTCCCTTTACACGGATCAGTCGTCCTGGTCCCTTTGCAGAAAAACAGCCCCAAAGCATGATGTTTCCACCCCCATGCTTCACAGTAGGTATGGTGTTCTTTGGATGCAACTCAGCATTCTTTGTCCTCCAAACACGACGAGTTGAGTTTTTACCAAAAAGTTATATTTTGGTTTCATCTGACCATATGACATTCTCCCAATCCTCTTCTGGATCATCCAAATGCACTCTAGCAAACTTCAGACGGGCCTGGACATATACTGGCTTAAGCAGGGGGACACGTCTGGCACTGCAGGATTTGAGTCCCTGGCGGCGTAGTGTGTTACTGATGGTAGGCTTTGTTACTTTGGTCCCAGCTCTCTGCAGGTCATTCACTAGGTCCCCCCGTGTGGTTCTGGGATTTTTGCTCACCGTTCTTGTGATCATTTTGACCCCACGGGGTGAGATCTTGCGTGGAGCCCCAGATCGAGGGAGATTATCAGTGGTCTTGTATGTCTTCCATTTCCTAATAATTGCTCCCACAGTTGATTTCTTCAAACCAAGCTGCTTACCTATTGCAGATTCAGTCTTCCCAGCCTGGTGCAGGTCTACAATTTTGTTTCTGGTGTCCTTTGACAGCTCTTTGGTCTTGGCCATAGTGAAGTTTGGAGTGTGACTGTTTGAGGTTGTGGACAGGTGTCTTTTATACTGATAACAAGTTCAAACAGGTGCCATTAATACAGGTAACGAGTGGAGGACAGAGGAGCCTCTTAAAGAAGAAGTTACAGGTCTGTGAGAGCCAGAAATCTTGCTTGTTTGTAGGTGACCAAATACTTATTTTCCACCATAATTTGCAAATAAATTCATTAAAAATCCTACAATGTGATTTTCTGGATTTCTTTTTCTCAATTTGTCTGTCATAGTTGACGTGTACCTATGATGAAAATTACAGGCCTCTCTCATCTTTTTAAGTGGGAGAACTTGCACAATTGGTGGCTGACTAAATACTTTTTTTAACACTGTATATTTCAGTACAAATAAATAAAGTCAGGCTTTAGCGAAGACAGTAGGTCTCTCCCTTTCATTTTCTATACCTGTCTTCGTGATTGCTTGTCTAAGTATCTCTTTAGTTTTACAAACTGTTTAGCAAACTGTGGAAAGTGTTTTTCCAATTAAGGAAACTAAAAGCAACAATTGAAAGAATCGCATTAAAAAACAAACCATGTTTCAGCTGCAGCATAACTTCTGCCTGTGTGTAACTGTTCTTGCTGCCTTCCTGGGAGACATTGCCTTGGATGAGGAGGACCTGCGTATGTTTAAGATTTACTTGTAGGACCATCGAGACCTTCAACAATACAGATGCTGGTACAGTATGGGAGCCGTGCTGGACATGGAGGATCCAACATTGGGGTCAATTTAGGGTGTTTTCACATGACTGCCATCTCCGTTGCAAATCCATGCATGAATTTGAGATGAGGGGTTACATTAGTTCTCTGAATTGAGTTGAAATTGATTGAATGTCCTCAAAACTGCATGGACCACATATCTGTTTGCATGTGTCTGCTCCAGTGAATGGTTCGTCGTCCAGTGAGAGCAGTAGGAATGACACGTCGCCAGACAGTCAGGCCCAGGGCTCCCTTCGCAGGAGGAGGGCAGCTACCTCCAGACCAGACGGCGTCATTCCATACGTGATCAGTGGGAATTTCATTGGTGAGTTCTGACTTTGAAGGACAACCCTCCCTTTTAGGCAGCCAACAAGCAAAATTCCTTCAGGCCATGCGTCACTGGGACCTTCACTGAAAGGACAACGGAGGAGAGCTACCAGCAGGAAAGCTCAATGCACCTACTGTACTACTTAGAAGTCCCTTATGCCCACCTGCTGGTAAATTACAGCTCCCTACTGTTCACAGCAGAACATTGCCAGTTGCTTCAGAGTTATGTCCCTTGACAGAAAATAGATGGTAATGCACTTCAGGCAGGAACGCTTCACTGTCATTTTAGCCTTTTGTCTTAGGCTCCTGTGGTTTCAAACCTGATGATTCGCTCCATGAGCAGCAGCTCTTCATGCCTCTCCATTGCTCTTCAACTTTTTCACAATATCTGCCATTCAGACAGGGTTCATGCTGCACACTGCATGACCAATTGTTCTTTATTCTCTCAGATTCTTTGCTTAAGATTTTGATAAAGACTGGGAACAATGGGGCCCGGAGACTGTCTGGTTGAGCAGTAATGCTCTTGTCCTCGGAACCACATACGGAAGCCGGTTCGATCCCCGCATCCATCCTTCTGTTTCTCTTCTCCTGTCATTTCACAAATAAATACAAATATAAAAGGAGTTTGAAATCTGTTCTCCTTTAAAAAAGAAAGAAAGAAAAGACTGGGAACAAAGCTGTGAGGTAGTTATTCTATAAAGGGATTTGATTGTAAACAGTTTACTGTAAGTGTGTTTTTGCCTGCATGTGTCTGTGTTATTGTCAGAATTCATGGCAAAAAAAGAAAACCGGGAACATTGCCCCAGAGCAAAGTATTTATTCATTTTCTAAATCTGGGCTTTCATGTGTGACTGACCACAGAGCTGGAGCTCTCCAGTTGCAGAGTTTGACCATACTGAGTTATTGAAGTGTGTGCAGTAAACAGTCAATTCCATTTTCATTCTGTCAATTCAGGGGACAAATTAAAGTCAACTTATAAAAGAAAAAAAAATGAGTAGAACTCAATGACAATGGATAGTTTTTCAATTCATTCGATTCAATAATGTAATATCAAGTTATTCCGTGTGCTGAATTGACTGAAATAAATGTGAATCAACCACAGTCCTGCAAGTGGGCATATCCCCCTGAAAGACTGTGTCTCCCTCTACAGGTGTTGCTCCTACGTGGGCAGGAGGGTAGGGGGTCCCCAGGCCATCTCAATAGGAAAGTTTGGGATCGTTGTGCATGAGCTGGGTCATTCGATCGGCTTCTGGCACGAGCATGCACGTCCCGACCGCGATGAACATGTCAGTATTATCAGAGACAACATCCAGCCAGGTAAGTCTGACTGTCTGCCTGTTTCTCGCAGATCATTTTGAGCCTTACCTCCATGGACCTCTACAGGAGCCACTTGTGCTGGTATGACCATGTGGAGGTCCGAGACATGTTCTGGAGAAAAGCCCTGTTGAAAGGTCTTTACATGGAAGAAGATTTAGAGTGGAACCCATCCATTGAGAACTCTCTAGAGAGGCCTGCTCTCTACATCTGTCAATAACTCTGTTTGTTTAGTCACATATTTGATAAAACTGGATTTTAGTCTGTCAGGTCAAATCTTGATTCTTCCCATTTGTCCCAGGACAAGAGAATAACTTCCTGAAGATGGAGCCAGGGGAGGTGGACTCTCTTGGGGAAGTGTACGACTTTGACAGCATCATGCATTATGCACGGAACACCTTTTCCAGGTTGGTACAAAGAACTGATTCTTCATAAGCTCTATTTGGTTAATTGGTTACTGTCTGGTTGGACAATAAAATTGTCTTGAAGGTCAATCATTCTTCTCCTCAGTATCTATACGAAAACAAAAATATAAATGCAACATGTTGTCACGATCGTCTGAAGGAGGAGACCAATGCGCAGCGTTGCGAGTGAACATGATGACTTTATTTACTTAAAGCAACCACGAAGAAAACAACAAATGACGATCCGTGAAGTTCTATACTGAAAATACGACTAACAGCTACAAAGAAACAATAACCCACAACACAAAGGAAAAAACACACCGAATATATATGGCTCCCAATCAGAGATAACGAGCCGACAGCTGACACTCGTTACCTCTGATTGGGAGTCATCGACCAATCACCACATGACACAAACAAAATGAGACTCACCCATTCCCAACACCACCAAATGAAATACACCCAACACAAGAAAATGAACAACCCTGGCTCAATATAAACGTCCATAGAGCCAGAGTGTTACAGTACCCCCCCCTAAAGGTGCGAACTCCGGGCGCACCAGCATACAGTCTAGGGGAGGGTCTGGGTGGGCGTCTGTCCACGGTGGCGGTTCTGCTTCTGGTCGTGGTCCCCATCCCACCTTAGTCACTCTCCGCTTCCGTCCTCCCTTCCTCATGACCACCCCCCAACTCAACCCCACAGGATTAAGGGGCGGCACCGGACTCAGGGGCAGCACCGGGATAAGGGGCAGCACCGGGACAAGGGGCAGCACCGGACTACGGGGCAGTACCGGACTAAGGTGGCAGCACCGGACTAAGGGGCAGCCAACCGGGATAAGGGGCAGCCCGGGACAAGGGCAGCACCGGACCTACGGGGCAGTACCGGACTAAACGGGCAGTACAGGACTAAGGGGCAGCACCGGGCTAAGGGCAGTACCGGACTACGGGGCAGCACCGGACTAAAGGGCAGCACCGGGCTAAGAGGCAGTAACCGGACTACGGGTCAGCACCGGGCTAAGGGGCGGCACCGGACTCAGGGGCAGCACCGGACTAATGGGGCAGCACCGGGCTGAAGGGCAGTACAGGACTAAGGGGCAGCACCGGCTGAAGGGCAGTACAAGGGACTAAGGGGCAGCACCGGGCTAAGGGGCAGTACCTGACTAGATGGCGGATCCTGGCTGGCTGGCTCTGGCGGATCCTGGCGGGATCTGGCGGACGCCTGGCGGATCCTGGCGGGACGGCTCTGGCGGATCCTGGCGGGACGGCTCTGGCGGATCCTGGCGGGACGGCTCTGGCGGATACAGGCTGGACGGCTCTGGCGGATACAGGCGGACGGCTCTGGCGGTTGGGGGAAATACAGGGGGAGGGTCCCCTGGGGATCCGGCGGGAGGGCTTGGGGGGATCCGGGCGGGGAAACCCGGTTTCTGGCGGTCCTGGCGGGCCGGTTGGCTGATCCTGGGGGGAAGGCCTGGCATCCTGGGGGACGGCCCCTGGCGGACCAAGGCGGGAAGGCCTTGGGGGGACCCACCCTGGAGGGCTTGGGGGAAAAAATCCACCCGGCCCGGCTCGGGGGGGGGAATCCGGGCTGGACGGCTCGGGGCTGATCCTGGCGGGAAAGGCTCTGGGGACCCAGGCTGGACGGCTCTGGGGGGGTCCAGGCTGGACGGCTCGGGCCCGGACCAGGCTGGACGGCTTGGGGGATCCGGGCTGACCGGCTCTGGGGGGGAAAATCCTTTTGGCCGGCTCTGGGGGGATCCGGGGCGGAACCGGGCCGGACCCGGGTGGGGGTTTCTGGGGACCCGGCGGGAAACGGCTCTGGCGGATCCTGGCGAACGGTCTGGGGATCCGGGCTGGACCGGGCTCTAGCGGATCCTGGCTGGCCGGCTCTGGCTGATCCTGGCTGGACGGCTCTGGCGGATCTTGGCTGGCCGGATCTGGCTGCTCATGGCTGGCTGACGGATCTGGCTGCTCATGGCTGGCTGACGGATCTGGCTGCTCATGGCTGGCTGACGGATCTGGCTGCTCATGGCTGACTGACGGATCTGGCTGCTCATGGCTGGCTGACGGATCTGGCTGCTCATGGCTGGCTGACGGATCTGGCTGCTCATGGCTGGCTGACGGGTCTGGCTGCTCATGGCTGGCTGACGGGTCTGGCTGCTCATGGCTGGCTGACGGATCTGGCTGCTCATGGCTGGCTGACGGGTCTGGCTGCTCATGGCTGGCTGACGGATCTGGCTGCTCATGGCTGACTGACGGATCTGGCTGCTCATGGCTGGCTGACGGATCTGGCTGCTCATGGCTGACTGACGGATCTGGCTGCTCATGGCTGGCTGACGGATCTGGCTGCTCATGGCTGCTGACGGATCTGGCTGCTCATGACTGGCTGAAGGGTCTGGCTGCTCATGGCTGACTGACGGATCTGGCTGCTCATGGCTGACTGATGGTGCTGGCTGGGAGGCTGGCGGTGGAGGCGGACCCCAGCCTCGGATAGCAGTCATCACCTCCAGCAGGGCGGCTCCCATCTGCAGGATCTGCTCTTTCTGGTTCCGAACCTGAGCTTCCAGTCTAGTATGGGCTGCGTCGGCTCCTGCTGATTCCATAGCAGGTGTCTGATTCTGTCTGGCGGACGGCTCTGCAGGCTCATGGCAGACGGACGGCTTTACAGGCTCAGTACAGACGGGCGGCTTATGCAGCGCTTGGCAGACGGGCAGTTCAGACGCCCTAGGACAGACGGCAGACTCTGGCCGGCTGGCGACGCACATCGTGGACCTGGTGCGTGGAGTAGGAACAGACCGGCCCGTACCGGGAACACCCACCAACTGGCCTTAACTGGGGATCAAGAACGGACCGGACCAGACTGGGAACACACTTCAGTCTCTCATGCCGTGCCACAACAACTTCCCCCCTTCCACTCGCCAATGGCTCCCGTAATCCGAATGCCTTCTCTCCAGCTCTACCTGTGGCAGCCTCCTGCTGCCCAGGCGCCCAAGCCATGTGCCCCCCCCCCAAAAAATTTTTGGGGAGTAACCACGGGCTTCCAGCCTCGACTCCGCGCTTCCTCTTCGTACCACCTCCTCTCGGCTGCAGCTGCCTCCAGCTCTTCACGAGGGCGGTGATATTCCTCCTCATACCACCTCCTCTCGGCTGCAGCTGTCTCCAGCTCTTCACGAGGGCGGTGATATTCCTCCGGTTGTGCCCAAGGACCCTTTCCAGCCCGAATCTCCTCCCATGTCCAAAAATCCTTAGGAGGCGTCCATAAATCCTGCGTAGGTAGGTCCTGTTGCCGCTTGTTACGCCGCTTGGTCCTCTTGTGGTGGGTTATTCTGTCACGATCGTCTGAAGGAGGAGACCAATGCGCAGCGTTGCGAGTGAACATGATGACTTTATTTACTTAAAGCAACCACGAAGAAAACAACAAATGACGATCCGTGAAGTTCTATACTGAAAATACGACTAACAGCTACAAAGAAACAATAACCCACAACACAAAGGAAAAAACACACCGAATATATATGGCTCCCAATCAGAGATAACGAGCCGACAGCTGACACTCGTTACCTCTGATTGGGAGTCATCGACCAATCACCACATGACACAAACAAAATGAGACTCACCCATTCCCAACACCACCAAATGAAATACACCCAACACAAGAAAATGAACAACCCTGGCTCAATATAAACGTCCATAGAGCCAGAGTGTTACACATGTAAAGTGTTGGTCCCATGTTTCATGAGCTGAAAGAAAAGATCCCAGAAATTCTTTATATGCACAAAAAGGGTATTTCTCTCAAATGTTGTGCACAAATTTGCTTACATCCCTGTTAGTGAGCATTTCTCATTTGCCAAGATAATCCATCCACCTGACAGGTGTGGCATATCAAGAAGCTGATTAAACAGCATGATCATTACACAGGTGCACCTTGTGCCGGGGACAATAAAAGTCCACTCTAAAATGTGCAGTTTTGTCACACAACACAATGCCACAGATGTTTCAAGTTTTGAAGGAGCGTGGCAATTGGCATGCTGACTGCAGGAATGTCCACCAGAGCTGTTGCCAGAGACTTTAATGTTCATTTATTTACCATAAGCCGCCTCCAATGTCATTTTTGAGAATTTGGCAGTACGTCCAACCGGCCTCACAACTGCAGACCACATGTAAACACACCACCCCAGGACCTCCACATCCGGCTTCTTCACCCACGGGATTGTCTGAGACCAGCCACCCGGACAGCTGATGAAACTGAGGAGTATTTATGTCTGTAATAAAGCCCTTTTGTGGGAAAAAACACAAGTCTGATTGGCTGGGCCTGGCTCCCCAGTGGGTGGGCCTGGCTCCCAAGTGGGTGGGCCTGGCTCCCAAGTGGGTGCCCTCCCAGGCCACCCAGGGTTGCGCCCCTGCCCAGTCGTGAAATCCATAGATTAGGGCCTAATGAATTTATTTCAATTGATTGATTTCCTTATATGAACTGTACTCAGTAAAATTGTTGAAATTGTTGCATGTTGTGTTTACATTTCTATTCAGTATACATTTGATGTGTTCTAACCTTCAGTTGAGTATTATTCACTCAAGTACTTTGTTTTTCACCTGACACATTGTAGTCAGGTCGCTTGTGCGCGATAACATTAAATATTCTAATTAGTATACATATTAGAATAACAATGTCACTGGCAGGAACTGGTTGTCTTCCAACAAAACGAACACTTTGCTCCTAGTTTTGACTTCAAAGAACCCTGGGATGCCATGGGGATTGGGTCCTGACTGTGATTAGAATGATTTCACAGAAAACCGATGCCTTTTCATTTCTGTCTCGTGCATGTTGTTACCCTGTTGCTTTTTCTGTGTTTTACTTTTTTACCTCCACCAACACTTTGCAGGCCAGGGTCGTGGAGGCGGGCCAGGGGAAATATAGGGCTGTCAGTTGGGTCTTTGTTTGGGACAATCTAAGCTTTCAGGGATGGGCTCCACAGAGCCCGTTGGCACAGCCTAAAGCCCTAGCTCAGACCACTTTATTTGCACATGCCCGCCATTCAAGGGTGCATCACCATGGGAACTGGGTGACAACTGGCTGCTGGGGGGACAGAAAGGGAGGTCGATAAAGTAGAAAAATGTCAAACCGGAAACCCATGTGAAAATGTCTTATTATGGCCTGCTCCTCAGCAGTGCTAAGTCATGACTGCTTTTCCAGTGGTGGAACTGTTGTTAATGATGGTGATATCTAGGATGAATGGTTCTTTTCCAGTGGTGGAACTGTTGTTAATGATGGTGATATCTAGGATGAATGGTTCTTGAGTTTTGACAGTAAAAAAAAAAGTGTTAAAGACTCGTTGTCTTAAAAGTCAGCTGAATACAAATTAAACATTTTGTTTTTCTAAGAGAGAATAAGGAGAGGTTTCTCTTAAAGCTGGATCCGTAATGGTGAAACTGCCACATCCGTTTGCGAAATTACAACAACAAAGAAGTTACTTCAAACAACAAACACATTTTTGCACGCGCAATAGAACAGCAGAGCATGTACTGCAATTTGTTTTTTACCACGATGCTGGATGCTCCTCTCCACGTTTCATCAACAAAACAAGAACAATAACAAATGCACTGGAGGTGAAGTGTGGCGCTGTTTCCCTTTATGCAGATGTTAGTTTTAATGCTCCTCTGTGTGTGTCTGAACTTCAGAGGCATCTTCTTAGACACCATTCTGCCCCGCTATGATGTCAATGGAGTCAGGCTACCCGTTGGGCAGAGGAGCAAAGGGGACATCGCACAAGCTCGCAAACTTTACAAGTGTACAAGACATATCCAACTTGGCAGACCCCCTGACTCATGTAGGCTTTTCACCACTTGAAAAGTCAGAGAGAACATGAGGATAAACCCTGCACAAGGTCTGACTCCTACCACCCCCGCCCATTCAAAAGATGACGACTGATGATTACTGTGTTTACCTTTCTGAAGCCATGACAAAGCTGTAATGACAAAGCCGTAACATGAGTAGATTAATTGTCAAAAGGAGATTGATTAATTCTTTATTTTCCAAAAATTGGAATTCAGTTTATTGTTATAATCCGGAGAACTCAAGCCCCAGGAACGGGCCACAGTTGTTACAAGTCAACAACCAATCAATCAGCAACCATCAAGTGCTTGGTATTGTGCCTCCTTTTTCAGGCTATGGAAAATCTATGTTGAGACAGCTGAAACGAAAGCTTGTCTTTTGTAACCCAGCAATGTTTTGTTTTTGTCTTCTTTCGCCATTCCTGTGGTGTGTTTAGAGTGTGTTTCTTTTTCACTGTGTGCTGTGTTGTGTTTTGTGGGCAGGGTGTGGGGACCGCCTACAGGACAGTTGTCACGACTTCCGCCGAGGCTGCCTCCCCTCCTTGTTCGGGCAGGCTTCGGCGTTCGTCGTCACCGGAGTACTAACCATTGCCGCCCCAGTCATCATCACAATTGTCTTGTCAATCACACACACCTGGTTCTATTCCCATAATTAGTCAGTGTATAAGTGTTCCCTCTGCCCCCTTGTCCTTGTGGGTGATTGTTTATTTGTGGAGGTTAGTGAAGCACGGTGGAGCTTGTGTATTGTGTATCGACGGGAGTATTTTACCCGTATGCCTTGTATTTTCCAGTGCGCCTGTTTTGTGGCCTGGAGTGTGTTTGACGCATTTCTGCGTAAACCTGTATTTTGCGGATTAAAGCCTGTTATTCTGTGATTTACCCTCCTGCGCCTGACTCCTTCATCACCACCTCATCACAACAGTAGTGGAAACTTCTCCACTCCTGGTTATCCCAATGGATATGCAGTCTACGTCCACTGTATCTGGAGGATCTCTGTCACACCTGGAGATAAGGTAGGTTGAAAACATCCAAGGGCTAGCCGTCAAACTCAGTTCACATCTGTGCATTGAGTTTCTCGGTGAGTTCTGTCAGTTCACTTGACAACAAACATATCGTATCCTATAACCAAAGGGGATGAGAGTTCTGGTTGAATTCAAGTGAGGTGCATTGGCTACGGTCTTTGTGCTTAGAATTGTTCAGAAATAGCCTCTTAATAGCCTCAGCGTCTTTGGCTCTGGGGTTGAATCCCTGCCTTGCAGCCAATGGGTTGTAAGTTTAAATAACCTGTTTATTTGTGGATTTCTTGGGGGCAGCAGATATCCTAGTGGTTAAGAGCATTGGGCCAGTAACCGAAAGGTCGCTTGTTTGATTCCCGACTAGCCAAATAGGTGAGAAATGTGTCGATGTGCCCTTTAGCAAGGCACTTAACCCTAATTGCTCCTGTTAGTTGCTCTGGATAACAGTGTCTGCTAAATGACCAAAATGTCCTGTGCTGCCCTTAACAAACAAACTTTACTTCTTCCTTCCTTTTCTCTCTCCCCATCTTCATTTCTGCCTGTCTGTCTGTCTGTCTGTCTGTCTGTCTGTCTGTCTGTCTGTCTGTCTGTCTGCCTGTCTCTCACAGATAATTTTGAACCTTACCTCCATGGACCTCTACAGGACTCACTTGTGCTGGTATGACCATGTGGAGGTCCGAGATGGGTTCTGGAGAAAAGCCGTTCTGAAAGGTCTTTACATGGAAGATTTAGAGTGGAACCCATCCATAGACAACTCTCCAGAGAGGCCTGCTGTCTACATCTGCCAATAACTTATTTAGAAAACATCTGTCCCTAAGTCAATGTTCACCTGAGATTTTGAATTCCTAGAGCAGAGCAGTTTATGTAAATGGTTAGAATTTGAATAGAATGTACAATATGTTCAGAATAATACACTGATGCACAATGATCAAACTTCACCAGCTGTCTGTGTATGTCAAGGTAGATGTAGGTGGGTGTGGTGGTGGAATCAGGCGCAGGACGGCAGAACGTTAGTCCAACAGACTTTAGTAGATGCACACAAAAACAATCACGAATAAATGCCCTGAGGCGAAAACTCCGCACGTAGGCGAAAATAATGGGCGCACTAACTGGTGCGACAAAACACTCCAAACAATATGGAGAAATAGCTCAACCGAGCAAACAGTAGAATAACAGCCTACCGGCACGACAGTAAAACAATAACACACAACACTAGACAAACACAACGAGAACTTATAGGACACTAATTACACTAAACGATAACAGGTGTAACAACAATCAGACAAAAGCAAACGAACATAGAAACATGCAACGGTGGCAGCTAGTATTCCGGAGACGACGAACGCCGAAGCCTGCCCGAGCAAGGAAGAGAGGCAGCCTCGGCCGAAACCGTGACAGTACCCCCCCCTTGACGCGCGGCTCCAGACGTGCGCCGGCTCCGGCCTCGGGGACGACCAGGAGGACGCGGAGCAGGGTGCGTCGGGTGCCCACGATGGAATTCCGTCAGGAGAGACGGGTCCAAAATGTCTCTCCTCGGCACCCAGCACCGTTGGAGAACCCCCATCCGACGTCTCGAATCCAAGATGGACCGCACGGAGTACGCCGGTGCCCCCTCGATGTCCAATGGGGGCGGAGGAGTCTCCCTGATCTCACTTTCTTGGAGTGGGCCAGCTACCACCGGCCTGAGAAGAGACACATGGAACGAGGGGTTAATACTTTTATACTCAACAGGTAGTTGTAATTTGTAACACACCTCGTTCAACCTTCTCAGGACTTTAAATGGCCCTACAAACCGCCGACCCAGTTTCCGACAGGGCAGGCGGAGGGGCAGGTTTCTGGTAGAGAGCCAGACTCGATCACCAGGTGCGTACACCGGTCCCTCACTGCGGAGATCGGCGCTCGCCTTATGACGACGGAGGGCCCGCTGCAGGTGGACGTGTGCAGCGTTCCATGTCTCCTCCGAGCGCTGCACCCACTCACCCACCGCAGGAGCCTCGATCTGGCTCTGCTGCCAAGGTGCCAGAACCGGCTGGTAACCCAACACACATTGGAAAGGGGTTAGGTTAGTGGAGGAATGGCATAGGGAATTCTGGGCCATTTCGGCCCAGGGAATGTACCTGGCCCACTCCTCCGGCCGGTCCTGGCAGTATGTTCTAAGAAACCTACCCACATCCTGGTTCACACGTTCCACCTGCCCATTACTCTCCGGGTGGTAACCCGAGGTGAGGCTCACCGAGACCCCCAACCGTCCATAAAAGCTCTCCAGACTCTGGAGGTAAATTGGGGACCTCGATCAGACACAATATCCTCGGGTACCCCGTAGTGCCGGAACACATGGGTGAATAGTGCTTCGGCGGTTTGCAGGGCAGTAGGAAGGCCCGGCATAGGGAGCAAACGACAGGCCTTAGAAAACCGGTCCACAACGACCAGTATAGTGGTATTCCCCTGTGAAGGAGGAAGGTCAGTGAGGAAATCCACCGAGAGGTGAGACCATGGTCGTTGTGGAACGGGCAGGGGTAGTAACTTACCCCTAGGCAGATGTCTAGGCGCCTTACACTGGGCGCACACCGAGCAGGAGGGAACATAAACCCTCACATCCCTCGCCAACGTGGGCCACCAGTACTTGGCACTAAGACAGTGCACTGTCCGGCCGATACCAGGGTGTCCAGAGGAGGGTGACGTGTGAGCCCAATAGATCAATCGATCCCGAACCTCGAGCGGAACGTACTTCCGACCCTCCGGGCATTGAGGTGGACTAGGGTCGGTGCGTAACGCCCGCTCGAGTTCAGCATCGACCTCCCACACTACCGGTGCCACCAGACAAGACTCCGGCAGTATGGGAGTGGGCTCCACGGACCTCTCCTCCGTGTCATAACGCCGAGACAGTGCGTCTGCCTTACCGTTCTGTGACCCAGGGATGTACGTGATCTTAAATGTGAACCGGGTCAAAAACATATTCCACCTCGCCTGGCGAGGGTTCAGCCTCCTCGCTGCCCGGATGTACTCCAGGTTACGGTGGTCCGTCAAAATGAGGAAAGGGTGTTGAGCCCCCTCAAGCCAGTGCCTCCACACCTTTAGGGCCTGTACCACGGCTAACAGCTCCCTGTCCCCTACGTCATAGTTTCGCTCCGCCGGACTGAGCTTCTTGGAATAAAAAGCACAGGGGCGGAGTTTAGGTGGCGCGCCGGACCGTTGCGAAAGCACGGCTCCTACACCGGCCTCTGACGCGTCCACCTCTACCTGAAATGGCAAAGAGGGTTCCGGATGCGCCAGCACCGGGGCCGAGGTAAACAGGTCCTTCAGCCTCCCAAACGCCCTGTCCGCCTCGGCTGACCACTGCAGACGCACCGGACCCCCCTTCAAAAGAGACGTTATGGGTGCCACCTGTCCAAAACCCCGGATAAACCTCCGGTAGTAATTCGCAAACCCCAAAAACTGCTGCACCTCCTTCACAGGGGTTGGCGTTTGCCAATTACGCACGGCTGACACCCGGTCTACCTCCATCTTCACCCCTGACGCAGACAACTGATAACCCAAAAAGGAGACCAACTCCTGGAAGAACAGACACTTCTCTGCCTTGACATACAGGTCGTGCTCCAACAGCCTCCGCAACACTCGGCGCACCAGGGCCACATGCTCGACTCGGGTAGGCGAGTACACGAGAATGTCATCTATGTACACGACCACCCCCTGCCCCTGCATGTCCCTGAAGATCTCATCCACGAATGATTGGAAAACTGAAGGAGCGTTCATCAACCCGTATGGCATGACAAGATACTCGTAATGGCCCGAGGTGGTACTAAAGGCTGTCTTCCATTCATCGCCCCCCCTAATGCGCACCAAGTTGTACGCGCTCCTGAGATCTAATTTAGTGAAGAAACGCGCCCCGTGCAATGACTCCGTCATGGTCGCAATCAGCGGGAGTGGATAACTGTACTTCACCGTGATCTGATTGAGACCACGGTAGTCAATGCACGGGCGTAACCCCCCATCCTTTTTCTTCACAAAAAAGAAACTCGAGGACGCAGGGGAAGTGGAGGGCCGTATTGTATCCTTGTCTCAGAGATTCGTCTATGTAAGTCTCCATAGCTCTCTTCTCCTCCTGAGACAGAGGATACACATGGCTCCGTGGGAGCGCAACTCCTGCCTGGAGGTCTATCGCACAATCTCCCTGCCTATGGGGAGGCAACTGCGTCGCCCTCGACTTACTGAACACAATAGCCAAATCCCCATACTCAGGGGGAACGTGCAATGCGGGCACCTGGTTTGGACTCTCCACCGAGGTAGCCCCTACGGAAACGCCTAAACATCGACCCACACACTGGGCAGACCACTCCATCAGAGCCCTCTCCTGCCACGAAATAGATGGGTTATGGGTACTCAACCAAGGCATGCCCAGCACCACCGGATACGCAGGCGAGTCGATCAGAAATAGCTGTATCATCTCCTGATGACCCCCCTGCGCACACATCCTAAGTGGCGCCGTGACCTCCCTGATCAAGCCCGCACCCAACGGACGGCTATCTAGGGCATGAACGGGGAAGGGAACGTCAACAGGGAGAAGGGGAATCCCTAAGGCTAAACAAAATTTCTTATCAACAAAATTCCCAGCCGCGCCTGAATCTACCAGCGCCTTATGCTGGGAATGAGGTGCTACCTGTGGAAAACGCACAGGCATACAGAAGTGTGCAACAGAGAGCTCTGGGTGAGTGGGGCGCCTACTCACCTGGAAGGACTCCCCAGTGCGGGACCTGTCGTCTTCTCCCCTAGGAGGCCATCCCCAGCACCTAGCCGCGGTGTGTCCTCCCCGACCACAGTTGGTGCAGGAGATGGACCCCCTCATCATCCGACCCCTCCTCTCTCTAGCGCCAGCGCCCCCGAGCTCCATGGGGCACGGCTCGGAGGCGCTGGAGGGTGAAATGGACGGACCCCCCTCGGGACGTCCGCGGGTAGCTAGCAGGGTATCCAGCCTGATGGACATGTCGACCAACTGGTCGAACGAGAGGCTGGTGTCCCTACAGGCCAGCTCCCTACGGACGTCCTCACGTAGACTACATCGGTAGTGATCGATGAGGGCCCGCTCATTCCACCCTGCATCCGCCGCTAGAGTACGGAATTCTAAGGCGAACTCCTGGGCACTCCTCTTCCCCTGCCGGAGGCAGAACAGACGCTCCCCTGCCGCTTTCCCCTCCGGGGGATGGTCAAACACCGCCCTGAAGCGGCGGGAGAACTCGTCGTAGGTGATGGTGGTAGCGTCGATTCTCCTCCACTCTGCGTTGGCCCATTCCAACGCCTTACCGGAAAGGCAGGAGATCAGGGCGGACACACTCTCGTGTCCCGAGGGCGCCGGGTGCACGGTGGCCAGGTAAAGCTCCACCTGGAGAAGGAATCCCTGACACCCGGCAGCGGTCCCATCGTAGGCCCTCGGGAGCGAGAGTCGAACTCCTCTGGGTTCCGGAGCGGGAATGGGCTGACTTGCCGATGGTGCGGGCAGGGAGGATGGTGGTGGAGGTGTCCCTCGGGTCTCCCAGCCTCGGATGGTGGTGATCACCTCCTGCAGTGCGGACCCCATCCGCAGGATCTGGTCATTCTGCTCGCGGACCCGGTCCTCCAGCGTCGCCTGTGCTGCTGCGGCTCCTGCTGATTCCATTCTAAAGGTGTGTTATTCTGTCAAGGTAGATGTACAGTGGGGAAAAAAAGTATTTAGTCAGCCACCAATTGTGCAAGTTCTCCCACTTAAAAAGATGAGAGAGGCCTGTAATTTTCATCATAGGTACACGTCAACTATGACAGGCAAAATGAGAAAAAATAATCCAGAAAATCACATTGTAGGATTTTTAATGAATTTATTTGCAAATGATGGTGGAAAATAAGTATTTGGTCAATAACAAAAGTTTCTCAATACCTTGTTATATACCCTTTGTTGGCAATGACACAGGTCAAATGTTTTCTGTAAGTCTTCACAAGGTTTTCACACACTGTTTCTGGTATTTTGGCCCATTCCTCCATGCAGATCTCCTCTAGAGCAGTGATGTTTTGAGGCTGTCGCTGGGCAACACGGACTTTCAACTCCCTCCAAAGATTCTCTATGGGGTTGAGATCTGGAGACTGGCTAGGCCACTCCAGGACCTTGAAATGCTTCTTACGAAGCCACTCCTTCGTTGCCCGGGCGGTGTGTTTGGGATCATTGTCATGCTGAAAGACCCAGCCACATTTCATCTTCAATGCCCTTGCTGATGGAAGGAGGTTTTCACTCAAAATCTCACGATACATGGCCCCATTCATTCTTTCCTTTACACGGATCAGTCGTCCTGGTCCTTTTGCAGAAAAACAGCCCCAAAGCATGATGTTTCCACCCCCATGCTTCACAGTAGGTATGGTGTTCTTTGGATGCAACTCAGCATTCTTTGTCCTCCAAACATGACGAGTTGAGTTTTTACCAAAAAGTTATATTTTGGTTTCATCTGACCATATGACATTCTCCTAATCCTCTTCTGGATCATCCAAATGCACTTCAGACGGGCCTGGACATGTACTGGCTTAAGCAGGGGGACACGTCTTGCACTGCAGGATTTGAGTCCCTGGCGGCGTAGTGTGTTACTGATGGTAGGCTTTGTTACTTTGGTCCCAGCTCTCTGCAACCAAATACTTATTTTCCACCATAATTTGCAAATAAATTCATTAAAAATCCTACGATGTGATTTTCTGGATTTTTTTCCCTCAATTTGTCTGTCATAGTTGACGTGTACCTATGATGAAAATTACAGGCATCTCTCATCTTTTTAAGTGGGAGAACTTGCACAATTGGTGGCTGACTAAATACTTTTTTCCCCACTGTAGGTGGGTGTGGTGGTGGAATCAGGCGCAGGACGCAGAACGTTAGTCCAACAGACTTTAGTAGATGCACACAAAAACAATCACGAATAAATGCCCTGAGGCGAAAACTCCGCACGTAGGCGAAAATAATGGGCGCACTAACAGGTGCGACAAAACACTCCAAACAATATGGAGAAATAGCTCAACCGAGCAAACAGTAGAATAACAGCCTACCGGCACGACAGTAAAACAATAACACACAACACCTAGACAAACACAACGAGAACTTATAGGACACTAATTACACTAAACGATAACAGGTGTAACAACAATCAGACAAAAGCAAACGAACATAGAAACATGCAATGGTGGCAGCTAGTATTCCGGAGACGACGAACGCCGAAGCCTGCCCGAGCAAGGAAGAGAGGCAGCCTCGGCCGAAACCGTGACAGTGTAACTGAGATGAACTGAAAGCTGCCTGCCTCAGTGTTGTTATTAGTCATTACCCTGGAGTTGTTGCTGTTGTGTTTTTATTTGTTTATCTTTCGTATCATGCCGTTACTGTGGGGACAGTCTACCTGGCCCCATCGTTTCCACGGACAGTCGGCTATGGATAGAGTCCAGGAGCAGCAGCAACTGGGTGGGCAAGGGCTTCTCAGCCGTGTATGAAGGTAACATCAGCCGTTTCACCATATACCATATTGTCTATATATAGTATTAATGTCCTTCTTTTAGTTTCTGAAAAGCCTTAGTTTTCTGCAACATTCAAATTACAGAAGCTCTATAAACACTAAACACAAAACTCATGTGTTGCCACTATATTCCCTTGATTTCAAAAGAAAGAGGGAAGTTGATTTTGTTGTTGGAAGAATTAATGGAAGGTGTACCCCCCTCCCTCTCTCACCAGCCAACTGTGGGGGAGAGGTGAACTGGGACAATGGCCAGATCCAGTCACCTAACTACCCGGACGACTACCAGCCCAACAAAGTGTGTGTGTGGAAGATCACAGTAGCACAGGATTTCCATGTGGGCCTCTCCTTCCAGTCATTTGAGGTAAAGATTATGAAGCGGAAAGGGAAGTCGAATTTCATTTTCACTCAATCATGTACTTGTATGCAGTGCTTGACTTGTACTGAAATAGGTGCCGGTACTCATTTTGGGTGACTGTACTGTTTATATTTAGGTGCAGGTGCTCCACAATACTCTTGAGCTAATATTCTATAAGAGGAACAGGAGCTCAAGCAGTAGAACATTTGAGGTGCCGGTACTCAGCTCCGGTGAGCTCCTGCCCAAGTGAAGAACTTCTTGTATGTGAATGGAACCCTGTGAGAGCCCCAAGAATAATCTGCATTAAATCTGGGATGACCGCAGCACATCTTGATGTCAATCATAAAGTCCAGACACTTTTAGGTGATGGATGTGATGGAGACTTCTTCTTTATTACTGATAGGAGGATACTGCTATGTCGGTTTGAAGTGATCATATTTATAACCGACATAGCAGAGTAGATGTGAATTTGTAGGACAGTTGGGCATCCTGTGTCAACATCCTCCAATGTTCCTTGCCTGTCTCTACCATAGATTGAGAGGCATGACAGCTGTGCCTATGACTACCTGGAGGTGAGAAGCGGGAACTCAGAAAGCAGTCCACTGCTGGGCTGCTTCTGTGGCTACGACAAACCAGATGACATCAAGACCAGCTCCAACCAGGTCTGGATGAAGTTTGTGTCTGATGGGTCAGTGAACAAGGCCGGATTTGCTGCGAACTTCTTCAGAGGTCAAGAATACTGTCCATCTGTGACTAGTGTTAATGATGATATGACACAGGATTGGGTAATATTTTGCACAAAAATCCTTTACAAAATTTGCTACCAGTGAAGAATTTGTCGTAATATAGTAGTTCACATTAATATCTGTGGAACCATCTTCTGATTATTCAACTGTATCTCAGGCCTTCACATTTACATTAAAGGCCCAATGCAGCCATTTTTATCTCAATATCAAATCATTTCTGGGTAACAATTAAGTACCTTATTGTAATTGTTCTCAATCAAAATTCAGCTGTGTATTTCTGCATTGTTACACATATTATCTGATGATGGCCAACATGGCTGACTTATGGAATAAAAGCAGACCTTTTGAATTGATAAGCTAGAGTTGCTCCTTCCTCCCCATATCAGTTAATTTGATATACTTAGTATTTGTGGGCTTTAGATGGATGGCAGGATGTATACCAAAAAAGTTTGAATAGTTTTACTTTGGCCATTTGCCTTATGATGTTGAGGTTAGTGTACACTACTTCAATGGGAGGGAAGTGGAACTGATGGTTTCTTAGAAATGTTTTACTCCATTTTCTCTTTTTGGATGTCACAACGTGTCACACCCTGGCTCTGGGACTCTATATGTTGAGCCAGGGTGTGTTCATTCTATGTGTTGTATTTCTATGTTGGGGGTTCTAGTTGTTCTGTTTCTATGTTGGCCTGAGTGACTCCCAATCAGAGGCAACGAGTGTCAGCTGTGGCTGGTTGTCTCTGATTGGGAGCCATATTTAAACTGTCTGTTTTCCCTTTGTGTTTGTGGGTTCTTGTTCCGTGTTGGTCTATGTTACCTAGGACGTTACGAGTCGTTTGTTGTTTTGTTCATTGTCAGTATTTATCACTATAGATAAATAAACATGTTCGTTCATCACGCTGCGCCTTGGCCTACTCTCCCTGACGATCGTGACAGAAGAACCCACCATCACAGGACCAAGCGGCGTGTCCAGGAGCAGGCAGCCTGGACGTGGGAGCAGATCTTAGACGGGCAGGGGTCCTGGACCTGGGAGGAAATCCTGGCCGGGATGGATCGCCGGCCATGGAGTGAGACAGTAGAGAGGCGACGGAGAGAGGAGCAACGGCGTGATCAGTGTCGTCGTCGGGCTGACGAGAGGCAACCCCAAAAAATTTTTAGGGGGGGGGCACAGGGCATGGACGACGGGGCTGACGGAGGCAGAAAAGGGGCGTATTCAGAAGGCCACCAGGTTACGGGGGCCACTGGTCAAAGTAGGGAAAGAAGGTTTAGAGGCACGGCGAGAGGTACTGGGGTGTGTTACCAGTCCGGTCCGGCCCGTTCCAGATCCCGGGGTAGAGCCAGTGGTGTGTGTCCCCAGTACGGTCCGGCCTGTTACGGCCCCTCGCACCAAATGTACGGTGCGCGTCGCCAGCCCGGTCCGGCCTGTTCCTGCCTCTCGCACCAAGCCTACGGTGTGCGTCGCCAGCCCGGTCCGGCCTGTTCCTACCACTCGCACCAAGTCTACGGTGTGCGTCGCCAGCCCGGCCCGGCCTGTTCCTGCCACTCGCACCAAGTCTAGGGTGCGCGTCGCCAGCCCGGCCCGGCCTGCTCCTGCCACTCGCACCAAGTCTACGGTGCGCGTCGCCAGCCCGGCCCGGCCTGTTCCTGCCACTCGCACCAAGTCTACGGTGTGCGTCGCCAGCCCGGCCCGGCCTGTTCCTGCTCCTCGCACCAAACCTACGATGTGCGTCGCCAGCCCGGCCCGGCCTGTTCCTGCCACTCGCACCAAGCCTACGGTGCGCGTCGCCAGCCCGGCCCGGCCTGTTCCTGCCACTCGCACCAAGCCTACGGTGCGCGTCGCCAGCCCGGCCCGGCCTGTTCCTGCCACTCGCACCAAGCCAGGGGCGCGAGTCGTCAGCCTGGTCCAGCCTGTTCCTGCCACTCGCACCAAGCCAGGGGTGCGAGTCGTCAGCCTGGTCCAGCCCGTTCCTGCTACTCGCACCAAGCCAGGGGTGCGAGTCGTCAGCCCGGTAAAGCCCGTTCCGGCTCCACGCACCAAGCCAGGGGTGCGCATCGTCAGCCCGGTCCGGCCCGTTGCTGCTCCACGCACCAAGCCAGGGGTGCGAGTCGTCAGTCCGGTGAGGCCCGTTCCGGCTCCACGCACCAAGCCAGGGGTGCGCATCGTCAGCCCGGTCCGGTCCGTTCCTGCTCCACGCACCAAGCCAGGGGTGCGAGTCGTCAGTCCGGTGAGGCCCGTTCCGGCTCTACGCACCAAGCCAGGGGTGCGTATCGTCAGCCCGGTCCGTCCGTTCCTGCTCCACGCACCAAGCCAGGGGTGCGTATCGTCAGCCCGGTCCGGCCCGTTGCTGCTCCACACACCAAGCCAGGGGTGCGCATCGTCAGCCCGGTCCGGTCCGTTCCTGCCTCACGCACCAAGCCAGGGGTGCGCGTCGTCAGTCCGGCACAACCAGTGCCTGGGTCACCGGTGCCTAATCAGGTACCGCTCAACTGCTCCACAACGGAGCTGAAGCTAACCGCTCCTGCTACGTCCAGTTCAGCTCCAGCCAGCGGGGCCAGACCGGACCAGGGGCGCTATGGGGGGAGTATTGGAGGGTGGTGGGCAAGCCCGGAGCCAGAAGCGCCGCCGAGGAGAAATGCCCACCCAGCCCTCCTCTGTTTTGCTCTAGTTGAGGTGCGGTCGCAGTCCGCGCCTTTAGGGGGGGGGGGGGGGGGTACTGTCACACCCTGGCTCTGGGACTCTATATGTTGAGCCAGGGTGTGTTCATTCTATGTGTTGTATTTCTATGTTGGGGGTTCTAGTTGTTCTGTTTCTATGTTGGCCTGAGTGACTCCCAATCAGAGGCAACGAGTGTCAGCTGTGGCTGGTTGTCTCTGATTGGGAGCCATATTTAAACTGTCTGTTTTTCCCTTTGTGTTTGTGGGTTCTTTTTCCGTGTTGGTCTATGTTACCTAGGACGTTACGAGTCGTTTGTTGTTTTGTTCATTGTCAGTATTTATCACTATAGATAAATAAACATGTTCGTTCATCACGCTGCGCCTTGGCCTACTCTCCCTGACGATCGTGACACAACGGCCTTTCTGGATGAAAGAGATGGAGTATATTATGAACTCTTTATTTCTGTCGACTGAAAATACAAAGGGAAGGAAGTGGAAGTATTTATACAATGTGCAGAGGAACGGATGGTTTCTTCTGGTTCCTTTCTTCTTGTCACGTCTCCTCCCGTTGCTCCCCTCCGGCGCTCTGATTCGCCGGTCTACTGAGCCACCGGTCTGAGCGCACCACCTCGGCAACACCGGAATGGAAACCCAACGCACCTTAATCACCTCCAGCGCACCTGCACCTCATCATCTCATCACCACCCCTATATAGCCCTGGACTGTTCTGGATGATGTTGTGTGTGATTGTTTAGCTTCGTGTCGTTTTACTCTATCTTTGTTATTTCTCATTGTCATTCTTAAGTAAACCTTGACCTTGTTAATTCCTGCGTCTGCGTCCTGCCTCTTCGTATACTCAGAACGCGTCACACTTCTTCATGACATATCACGACGGCTCTGTGGGTGGTAGAGATGGACGAGTGTTCCAAGCCTGATAATGGGCTCTGTGAGCAGCGCTGTGTGAATACCCTGGGCAGCTACCGATGTGCCTCTGACCCTGGCTTTGAGCTCGCCTCAGACAGGCACAGCTGTGAGGGTGAGCGCAAGGGGTGCTTATTTAACCATCTCCTAAAAACACCAGCAATGTAGTATGAATCACACAACTTCACCATCCCATTCACTGGACAGTGTCAAGGTTTTAGACAACTCAAGCCACAGTCTAACATCACCTAATAACCATCTGCGCAATTGTCATAATTGAATAATGAGCTTCTCAGGAGATACATTTCCCAATATTGACACCATTGTAGTTAAAAAACACTCACCAGTCCCTATCTTCTAACTAAATGTTGATATTCTTTATCACTTGGACATGAATTGGACACACACTTATTCATGAACTCAGTGTCTGCCACCTCAACAATCATCCTTTATCAGAGGAAAGAGTGTGTTTTTATAACAGTCATACCACTTCATCACAGTTTATTATCAACGAGGCACTAAATGGATTTTGAAGACCTGATTCAATGTCAATTATGAAAAGTATTCCAGCAAGCTTTGATGGGCATCTGAGGATACATTAGTTTGTGGGTTTATTTTACTTTATTTTGCATCAAGAGGACATGATTGCACTTTGTGTATTATAAAAGTTTCACTTGCCAGTGCTAAAGTGCTTTTTCTTTTCTACTGCCACTCAAAATATGGTATTCAAAATTACTCTACTTAACGTTAATGGATGCTTGTTTCATTTTGTAGAGCTGTAATCTACATCCTAGTGCAAATTGCACAACAGAACAGCATATGTAGGACCTGACTTTCATATTAGCTTCACACACTGTTGCAGTTTGCAACTTAGTGAGCTCTCTCAGAGTATTAAAGAATATCAACATTTAGTTAGAAGACAATGATTGATGAGTGCTTTTTAACTACAATGGTGTCAATATTGGGATATTTATCTCCTGAGAAGCTCATTATTCAATTATGACAATTGTACAGATGGTTATTTTGTGATGTTAGACTGCGGCTTGAGTTTTCAAAAACCTTGACACTGTCCAGTGAGTGGGATGGTTAAGTTGTGATTCATACCATATTGATGGTGTTTTTAGGAGATGGATAAGTAAGCACCCCCTGCACTCACCCTCACAGCTGTGCCTGTCTGAGGCGAGCTCAAAGCCAGGGTCAGAGGCACATCGGTAGCTGCCCAGGGTATTCACACAGTGCTGCTCACAGAACCCATTATCAGGCTTGGAACACTCGTCCAGCTCTACCACCCACAGAGCCGTCATGATATGTCATGAAGAACAAAGGAACCAGAAGAAACCATCCGTTCTACTGCACATTGTATAAATACTTCCACTTCCTTCCCTTTGTATTTTCAGTCGACAGAAATAAAGAGTTCATAATCTACTCTATCTTTCATCCAGAGAGGCCGTTGTGACATCGCATGAGGGAAGACAGAATAAATGAAGCAAAACATTTGCACTGGGCCTTTAACATTGACTTAACAAATTGCTGGTACATTTGGGCTACAGTATAAATTATTTTGAAAAGGTTCCGAGGTATGAGAATTTTTGTTTATTCTTATACAGTGAGTGTTTGGGTGAGACAGTGACCCTGAGTAGAAATGAGGGGAATTAGGCACAACTCTCATTTGTCACTTTAAATAAAATGTCATATTTTATTCAACTGTATATTTCTGCATTGTTGCACATATTATCTGATGATGGCTGACTTATGGAATAAAAGAGGACTTTTGAATTGAAGCTAGAGCTGCTCCTTGCTCCGAATATCAGTTAATTTGATATGCTTTACATGGAAGGCTGAATGTCCACCTGTGTGTACACAAAAAAAATCTAATTTTTTCAGTGTACTGAAAATAGGGTACACTACTTCAATGGGAGGGAAGTGGAACTGATGGTTTCTTAGAAATGTTTTACTCCATTCTCTCTTTCTTCCTTCATGGGATGTCACAACGGCCTCTCTGGATGAAATAGATGGGAAGGAAGTGGAAGTATTTATACAATGTGCAGAGGAACGAATGGTTTCTTCTGGTTCCTTTCTTCTTCATGACATAACACAACGGCTTCTGTGGGTGGTAGAGATGGACGAGTGTTCCAAGCCTGATAATGGGTTCTGTGAGCAGCACTGTGTGAATACCCTGGGCAGCTACCAATGTGCCTCTGACCCTGGCTTTGAGCTCGCCTCAGACAGGCGCATCTGTGAGGGTGAGTGCAGGGGGTGCTTACTTATCCATCTCCTAAAAACACCAATGTATACTGAACCAAAATATATAGACATGTAAAGTGTTGGACCAATGTTTCATGAGCTTAAAAAAATTATCCCCGACATTTTTCATACGCACAAATAACGTATTTCTCTCTAATTTGGTGCACAAATTTGTTTACATCCCTGTTAGTGAGCATTTCTCCTTTGCCAAGATAATCCATCCACCTGACAGGTGTGGCATATCAAGAAGCTGATTAAACAGCATGATCATTACACAGGTGCACCTTGTGCTGGGGACAACAAAAGCCCACTAAAATGTGCAGTTTTGTCACACAACAAAATGCCACAGATGTCTCAAGTTTTGAGGGAACATGCAATTGGCATGCTGACTACAGGAATGTCCACCAGAGAAGTTGCCAGATAATGTAATGTTAATTTCTCTACCATAAGCCGCCTCCAACGTCGTTTTAGAGAATTTGGCTTTACGTCAACTGGCCTCACAACTGCAGACCACGTATAACCACACCAGCCCAGGACCTCCACATTCGGCTTCTTCACCTGCGGAATCTTCTGAGACCAGCCACCTGAACAGCTGATGAAACTCTGGGATTGCACAACCGAAGGATTTCTGCACAAACTGTCAGAAACCGTCTCAGGAAGCTCATTTGCGTGCTTGTCGTCCTCACCAGGGTCTTGACCTGACTGCAGTTCGACGTCGTAACTGACTTCAATGAGCAAATGCTCACCTTCAATGGCCAGTGGCATGCTGGAGAAGTGTGCTCTTCACGGATGAATCCCGGTTTCAACTGTACCAGGCCGATGGCAGACAGCATGTATGGTGTCTTGTGGGTGAGCGGTTTACTGATGTCAACATTGTGAACAGAGTGCCCCATGGTGGCGGTGGGATTATTGTATGGGCAGGCATAAGCTACGGACAACGAACACAATTGCATTTCATCGGTGGCAATTTTAATGCACAGAAATACCGTGACGAGATCCTGAGGCCCATTGTCGTGCCATTCATCCACCGCCATCACCTCATGTTTCAGCATGATAAAGCACAGCCCCATGTCGCAAGGATCTGTACACTATTCCTGAAAGCTGAAAATGTCCCAGTTCTTCAATGGCCTGCATGCTCACCAGACATGTCACCTATTGAGCATGTTTGCTCTGGATCGACGTGTACAACAGCATGTTCCATTCCCGCCAATATCCAGCAACTTTGCACAGCCATTGAAGAGGAGTGGAAAAACATTCCACAGGCCACAATCAACAGCCTGATCAACTCTATGCGAAGGAGATGTGTCGCGCTGCATGAGGCAAATTGTGGTCACACCAGATACTGACTGGTTTTCTGATCCACGCCCCTACCTTTATTTTTAAGGTATCTCTGACCAATCGATGCATATCTGTATTCCCAGTCATGCCGACTAGGTGAAAAATCTGTCGATGTGACCTTGAGCAAGGCACTTAACCCTAATTGCTCCTGTAAGTCGCTCTGGATAAGAGCGTCTGCTAAATGACTAATTATTAATTATGTGAAATCCATAGATTAGGGCCTAATGAATTTATTGAAATTGACTGATTTCCTTATATGAACTGAAATCTGAAATTGTTGCATGTTGCGTTTATATTGTTGTTCAGTGTTGTATGAATCACATAACATCACCATCCCACTCACTGGACAGTCTCAAGGCTTTAGAAAACTCAAGCCACAGTCTAACTTCACAAAATAACCATCTGTGCAATTGTCATAATTGTAATAATGAGCTTCTCAGGAGATAAATATCCCAATGTTGACACCATTGTAGTAAAAAAAACGACACTCATCAGCCCCTGTCTTCAAACTAAATGTTGATATTCTTGCAACAGAGCAACAATCACATTAATCTGCTTTATAGTGTATTGTACTGTGAACCCGTTCCACCTTCTCTACACTATAACAGTTATGATGTGGTACGAGGTGTGTTGCCTCATGGCCACAGGTCTGTCACTAATGTTCGCTCTGTATCCTCCCCAGCAGCTGCGTGTGGAGGCTTCATTACCAAGCTTAACGGCTCCATCACCACCCCTGGCTGGCCCAAAGAATACCCCCCCCCCCAACAAGAACTGTGTCTGGCAGCTGGTGGCCCCTACACAGTACCACATCACCCTGCTGTTTGATGTCTTCGAGACCGAGGGCAACGATGTAAGCATTATACCCTGAATTATCAGAGAGGGCACATTTTGTAAGTGGGAAGGAATGGGCAGTTACAATGGCCAGTGAAAGTGGCCACCGATGTCTCTCCTCATGAGGGAAATGATTGTCTAGTCCAGTAAGGCGGTGTCTGTGTGTAGTGGTTTACCTTGACTTATTCCATAGTACATGTTCCAGTTCCTCTTCAACACTGTCTGACCTGTCCTCTGTGGTCTCTTCTTCCCTCAGGTGTGTAAATATGATTATGTGGAGGTGAGGAGTGGACTAACCGCTGATACCAGGCTTCATGGGAAGTTTTGTGGAACAGAGAAACCAGAGGCCATCACCTCCCAAAACAACAACACAGTGTCCGAAAAAGGTTTCAAAGCCCAATTCTTCTCGGGTAAGTCTTTAAAAAAAGAATTGTGAGACAAAATGTACATATAAGCACTAACACAATAAATGCTCAAAGATTTGAGTGTTATAAAGGGCTTAGGTGGGTTTAACAATGTCTGACAATGTTCTGTTCCTATGCAGTCAAGGACGAGTGCTCTAAGGAGAATGGAGGCTGCCGACACGAGTGTGTCAACATATTCAGGAGCTACAGTTGTCAGTGTCTCAGTGGCTTTGTGCTGCATGACAATAAACACGAATGCAAGGAAGGTACAGGATGTCTCCTATCTTAATGGATTTATCCTTACATTTACCTACAGATCATACTGTAGCTATCCATATCCATCCATCCAGGAATTACATAAAGCCCTTGACATCCTATTTTACATGGCTCATGAAATCAAAGAGCTGGGGATATGATCTGTCCTCTTGGATTACTGAGCTATTCAGCAATGTTTATTTTCTAGCCGGCTGTGATCATGTGGTGAGCAGTGTGTCAGGCACCATCACCAGCCATTACTGGCCTGACAAGTACCCCAGCAAGAAGGCCTGTACCGGGGCCCTCTCCACTACCCCAGGCCACCTCATCGAAATTGTATGTTAACTGCTCGTGACAAGATTGGAATAGTTTTAATGACACCTGTTATGTCATGCTTATAATTTACATTGTAACAGTACATAGTCAGCAGAAGAAGGTTAATGTAGATTCTTACCACCTACCTCAATTAATCTACATACAATTTTCATGTTTTCAAAGAGATCGACATGGAGGCTCATCTGGAGTGTGCCTACGACCACCTGGAGATCTACGATGGGCGGGGCGGCGGGCCCCCAGTCTGGATGCTTCTGTGGCACCAAAAAACCCTCGCCAGTCATCTCCAGTGGCAACAAGATGTTCCTGTGCTTCTTCTCTGACAACTCAGTCCAGAAGAGAGGCTTTGAGACACGTACACTGGAATTAGCACTAGTATTAGCATTTTGTGATACCAGAAAGAAAAGGACTGAAATTGATAATTCTTATTTGTTCACAGGGAGATGGGCGAACTGCTATCATGTTGTTTTGATTTCAGAGAAATTAGAACATTCAACTAATATTGATTGTATAATAAATTATTCAACCTTTTTCATTTAGGTCTGGTCAATCCACTGCCATAGCCTATTTAAAATATTGATAATAATAATGATAAATAATCCATAAATCTCAGCAGACCAGTTAAGTGGTATTCATTGATCTTACCAATGCCTTTGATCCAGTTGGGCTCATTTTGTCTCTTAGATCAATCAAAAAGGCTTGCGTTTTCCCAAAGACAACTCCAATTACTGGGAGGTCGAAAAGGATGGGCCACAAGGGTTTGATCCTGGGACCATTGTTAACCTCCTTCATCGTTAATGATCAGTTCTGTGTCCACTGATACAAATGTCTTCTTGTATGCTGATGACACTATCTCTGGTTTTTGTTTTGTTTGTATTATATTATCACTAAGGTACAGTACATTATGTTAGTAATTCGTGAACAACATATGTTGTTTTGTCAAGACCCTTGAATAATGACAGGATTCATCTCAAGGAATTAATCCTGCATAAATTGGGGGTTACAATGGCCATTTTGCCATCTGGGTTTGTGATTAGTGGTCTCTTTCATCTCACGCGTATAAAGTTACACAATACCACAGGGAGTGTAGTGGATTTTTTTTGGGGGAAATAACTGCTCTCAGAGAATTATTTGTTGCTAAATTGCACATTCCATATCTGAATGAGTTCCTTCTCTGAGCCTCGGTCTCTAATTTTGTGGCTGTGCGTTCTCAGAGTGTGGAGGAAGCATTAAAGCTGAGGTCAAGACCAAAGATCTTTACTCCCACGCCCAGTTAGGGGATAACAACTACCCAGGGTTGTCTGACTACCAGTGGGTGGTCTCTGCTGAGAAGGGCCACGGAGTAGAGCTCATATTCCAAACCTTTGAGATTGAGGAAGAGGCTAGGAATACATGGAGCTATTTGATGGTGCTGATGTCAAGGCTGTGGATCTGGGGTAAGGACGACCAAAGGTTTCAGTACATCTACTAGACTGTAACAGCTACTGTACATAGTGTTACTGTATGTAGCACTTCACAAAATGCCAGTGTTTGCATACTTTTAAAATGTAGAGGTGTAAGATTATCTCTCTCTCTCTCTCTCTCTCTCTCTCTCTCTCTCTCTCTCTCTCTCGCTCCCTCTTTCTCGCTCTCTTTCTTTCATCCCCCTGAGGAGATCCTACTCTGCTGGGGACGCCATCGTTATAAAGTTCCATTCTGATGTCACCATCAATAAGAAGGGCTTCCATGAATGGTACACCAACACAAAGTTCCAAGACAGGGGTGGTATTACTGTACAGGATAGATTAAGGTCAGGGTACATGTGTAGCTCAGTTGGTAGAGCATGGCGCTTGCAACACCAGGGTTGCAAGCGTCAGCAACACTGAGCTACACATGTTTGAACATCTTGGAGAAGAATCTGGCCTTAATGGCCATGTACTGTTAAAATCTCCACCCGGCACAGCCAGAAGGGGACTCAGAGCCTGGTTCCTCTCTAGGTTTCTTCCTAGGTTTCTGCCTTTCTAGGGAGCTTTTCCTAGCCACCGTGCTTCTACATCTGCATTGCTTGCTGTTTGGGGTTTTAGGCTGGGTTTCTGTATAGCACTTTGTGACATCTGCAGATGTAAAAAGGGCTTTATAAATACAATTTGATTGATTGTGGGTTCGATTCCTATGGGGGACCAGTACGGGGAAAAAAGGTAAAAAAATTATCCACTCAGTACTGTAAGTCGCGCTGGATAAGCGTGTCTGCTAAATGACTAAAATGTAAATGTCATAGGGACTACTCCCCAGTGCCCTGACCACCTCGTAACTTGAAGCCCAGCTGAGCCCTAACTTCTTGGGAAGTTAACCTTCCAACCTTGCCTTGGTGTGTCTTTGATAAAAGATTGATTCCTAAATATGACTATTTACTCTTGAATTTTAATTCTAGGCACTGTAACTATTGTATATCATTACGGGTGCACGTTGATGATTAGGAAAGACAGATAGAACCGGGGAAATTTGTTTTGAGCACACAGATGTAATTTGTATGGTCCTCCAATGTAGAACAGGGATGATTTTTTCCCCACTCATGATTGATGATAGCCGGACAAGAAAAAACAACGTTTGTTGTTATTCTTTTCAAAGGCTAATGAACATAATGTAAGGTAGTGGTCTGTTCTTTTCCATTTGTTTAGATGATTTGGCCCAAATATATACCTCACAGAAGGACCAACATTTTCATAATTCCCATGCTGTCCTCAATAAGTGCTCCTAATGGGTGTTTCACTGTGCAGGTTTGAAACCATAGTTTTATTCTCTCGCTAGCTCGCCCGCTCACTCACTCTCTATCTCTCTCTATCTTTATTAATCCATAATCCATTAAACAATTACTGATTTATGTTGTTGTATCAGCCTGCATGGTGGATAGAGAATGCTTTCCTTAAAGTGCTACTAATGATATACAACATTTCAATGTGCTGGTTTGAACTGCTCTCTCTCTCTCTCCCTCTCGCTCCACTGATAATAGCCTAGGCCTATGCCATTACGTTGAGTGCAGTTTCCTTCCAAAAATAACTGTTTTTTTAATTATGTAAGTGCAAGGGTGGAATGGGAGGGAAGAAAAAGCGTATGAAATGTACTCTTGTGGAGATTGTTCAGAACCGTAACTTCTAAGTCTGACCTGCTAATCCTGGGCAAAACGTGGGTAGCACAATGTTATGGTACTGTACTGTGTCCACAGGTACTTCTAAGGTACCTTGTATGGTGATAGTGGTGCTATCCTAGTATGGTGCTGTCCTAAAGAAACAAAACAGTTATTCATCAGTTGTTGTGTTTTAACCTCTTCTGCTTTGCAGGCTTTCATTCTATGAATGTTGTGTGATGTTCTGCGGACCGTGTGGCCAATCCATCTCCATTTCTGCTCCTGGATGCTGATAGAGACTTTATAATGTTATCTATAGTAGCTCTATGTACTATTTTCATTTCCAAAATGACTCACACTGACAAAAACACTTGTCGATGAGACAGTGACAGCTCCATTATGGACAAGCACTTCTCTGACTTGCACTATCAGGGATTTCTAGGAAATGGTCCACATCTTACATTTTACTACAATCATTTTGACCCATTACTCAGCTCAGTAAGAAAGTGACACAACCACAAAACTCGCTTCAAATGACCTCTTAATTAGTTTTTTTTTCTTTCCTGTGCTCTGATATTCACAAACAGAAGTGTGTTCATGCTTGTTGCTGTTCCTGCTAAGACTGTCCAGATCAAAAAAAGGGTTATATTTCAACACAGAGACACAAAACAAATGTGTATTTATTTAGAACGATATCTTGCAGTATACATTTGAAATACTGATGATATCCAATATTTGTATGAAAATTATAATTATGCATTGAAAATTACTTATCCAAATAGTTGGCGCACCTTTGTCTCAAAATACTGAACTGCCGTACATTGTAGACGATAAGGCAATTTTGTATTCATCATTCAGTTAACGCCAGGCCGGTACAATTTATGCTGTAATATTGCAAAAGGTTATTGCGCATTAATAATAAAGATGACAAAAACATTAAACAATCCTTGATGGTGAAGCTCACTGACCCCCATCAATATGACTTTAGTAAGATATTGAGATGTTTCTGAAGTTGAACAGTTGGCCTACTTACTATTTAACATCTCAAAACAATATGGTAGCATTTTGTGCTCGTTTTTTATGTCGCTTATTATCTGACAGTTATACTCTGAGGGAGGTTTAGCACCAGTATAAGGCTTGCCACAGGCTTTGCGATGTGTAGATGCGTGCTGCGGTTGTCAGATTTTGGGAAGGAAAACTTTGAGGGGCTCATTCTCATGCACTTTATCCAGGAATCCCAGATTGAAGTAGGGGTACAACGTCTCTGTGAAGGTTTCACGGAAGGTATAGAGATGAGTCATGCTCTCTGCATTGTAGAAAGACACCAGACCCCTCTTATAATCCAGATACACCCCTATCCTAGCCAGAGGCTCCTCAAGTGACAGCACAGTAGGGGGCGATGTACAGGCCATGTACTGTATTCCATAGGACAGGGACAGGGTCCAGAAGCCATTGGCTGGCAGGGCTTTGATGACCCCCTTCCTGGATACAGACTCTCTGGCTACCCCCACGGTCCACACAGTGCTGCTGTAGACCTCTATCTCCCAGTAGTGGCGGCCATGGGTGAAGCCCTGACTGCCCAGCAGGGACAGGGCAGCGTTGAAGCGGTGGGGGTTGTCCTGGACAGAGTGGTTGAAGGTCTGGTAGCGGACACAGGTGAGGGAGGAGGTCAGGCTGAGCCAGGGGTTGGCCGTGCTCGAGTTTAAGGTGATGGCAGCCGGAACTGAGCAAGGAAAACAAGTATAACATTCCATAATACAGAAAAAAGTGGTACAGCAGTGTCATTCTCAATTAAACCGTTTCATCTTTCTATCTAAAATAAGAAAACAACAGTTAAGTAGAGAATTCTGTGTAGTAAAGTAGTGAATTCTGTGCAAATCACCAGTGTTGTGTTCAAGACCAACTAAAGCGAGACCGATTCAAGACCAAGACCGGAAGGGGGACAAGGGGTCCGAGACAGAGTCAAGATGGCGTAGCAGTGTGGTCGTGTTTTCTGTTGTGTCCTCGTGTAAATAGCCCTGTTTTTTGTCTTTTTTTCGTATATATTTCTCTATCTCACTTCCCATCCTTTAACCAAATATACTTTCCTGCAACCCGCCTCACCCAATGTGGAACGGATTCTATTATTTCTTTATTTTTATCAAGAACCTACGGCTGATACTAGCCAGCTAACTAGCTACTTGCTATTAGCCACCGTTAGCGGTCTTCACCACTGTCCGTGGCCTGCACTACCTACCAGCCAGCTCTAGCCTGGACAATTATCGGTCTACACAGCGTGCTATCGACCCAGAGCATATCAGATTTTCTGCCGGAATCACTGAATCACTGGACCTTAACACCGGATCATCGCAACTAGCTAGCTGCAACTGAATGGCTGTTGTTGGCTAATTCACCACTGTCCCGATGCACCCAGTTAGCCTTGAGCTAGCCTCGAGCCAGGCCCATCTCCCGGCTATCTAACTCTCTGTCAACCAGACGGGACCTCCTAGTGTCGACACGGAGCCCCGCCGATCCATCACGACTGGTCTGCCGACGTAATCGTCTGATGTGATTTCAACAGGCTTCCTTTTGCGACGACCACGAAGATCCATCTGCTAGCCCCGGCCCGCTAGCACGCGCAATCAACAGCCATGCCTCCTGCTCGCCTGTGCTGTAGCAGCCTACAAACTGATCCCGGACTTAGCTATTGCTTTTCACTGGACCTTATGATCACTCAGCTACACAGCTGATGCCTGCTGGACTGTTCCTTTATACGGTACCCTGTCCTGTTTATCTGTTTAGCCTCAGCCCTAACTTTCGTCGCCATTACCAGTTGTTGTCTTAGCCCTCTGGAATAACACCTGTGATTGTGTTATGCCTCTCTCCCATGTCAATATGCCTAGCCTATTGCTGTTTGGGCTAGTTCTTATTATACTATTTCACTGTAGAACCTCCAGTTCCGCTCAACCAGCCTCAGAGAGCTCCTTTGTCCCACCCCACATACACGCGGAGACCGGCTCAATCGGTACCTCCAGTGATGCTACCTATTTCATCGTTACCCACTGCTTAGGTGTACCTCCACTGTACTCATATCCTTCCATATCCTTGTCTGTACATAATGCCCTGAATCTATTCTACAACGCCCGGAAATCTGCCCCTTTTATTCTCTGTACCCAACGCACTAGAAGACCAGTTCTTAAAGCCTTTAGCCGTATGCTTATTCTATTCTTATCAATAAGCATCCTTCACCCAAATTCAGATAGCTGATGTCCTGAAAGAGCTGCAAAATCTGGACCCCTACAAATCAGCTGGGCTAGACAATCTGGACCCTTTCTTTTTAAAATTAGCTGCCGAAATTGTCGCAACCCCTATTACTAGCCTGTTCAATC